TTTTTTTTTTTTTAATATGGTGATTGTTATCAGTATAAGTTAATGGTTGTTTTGCTGAGGATGTCTTAACATACACACACACCCCATACTGGAGATTGAACCCAAGGCCTTCATACTACACTACATCCCCAGCTCTTTTTTTATTTTTTATTTTGAGACAAGATCATTCTAATTTGCTCAGACTGGGGTTGAACTACAGTCCTCTTGCCTCAGCCTGCTAGAGTACATTCTGTCTTTACATAAAGTTATTTTAGCTCTTCTATTTTTAAAAATCCAGTATAAAGTAGTGGTGAATTTAAGGCCTTGGGTCAAATTAGCCTTTTGCTTTGTTAAAAGGTGCATATTGTAATGCATCCATGACCATTCATTTATCTGTGGTGGGTTTTTCTGTGATTTAATGGCAGAGTGGAGTAGTTGTTCTAGCTGATCTGTGGACCACACAGCCTCAAATACTTGTGCTGTGTAGCCCAGGCTGGCCTTGAACTTGTAATGATCCTCCTGCTTACGCCTCCTGAGTACTAGTATTACTTACTGTGTCTGGTCCTCTACAGAAAATGTTTGTCAAACCTTCTTTTATTATAAGAATTCTATTTCTTTTTTTTTTCCAGTGCATAAAATTTTTAATTAATTTTAATGAGAAAGAAATAGCAATGAGACAGTTTCAAAACAGGTTAGTAGGACAGTTATATAATAATTAATGCATTGCATATTGTGATCTTCATGGTAGTTATTCAGAGGGTTATTTTGCTGAGTTCAAGTACCTACAATATTTGAATGGCAGTGGAACACCCATTTCTGACAAAACAAAACAAAAAAGGGGGATATAAATGAAGGAACATTTTGCAGTGAAAAAAAAAATATATATATATGTATATACAAAATAGGATAGATATACAGCTACTTTCTGTTAGTTCAATGAGAAGAAAGATTTGTACTACTAGTGGCTTTTTTTTTTTTTTTTTTGTGGTACCAGGGATCGAACTCAGGACCTTGTGCTTGCCAGGCAAGCACTTACTCCACTGAGTTATCTCCCCAGCCCCCTGTACTATTAGTGTTTAGATGTCATGTCTACGTCTTGTACTCTGAATAATTCCTTTTTTTATTATTATTTTCTTGTCCTTTAGTGCCATAATTAATATCCAGGATAAATAGCTAGAAATGTGGTGTATATTCTATATCATTTTTTTTTTAATTTATTTATTTTATTTATTTATTTGTGTGTGTGTGGCCAGCTCAGCCCACCAGGGGGCAGGGCTGGCTGGCATGTGGTGCTGGGGGATCGAACCGCGGTCCATGTGCTTTGCTAAGCTTGTTCAAAGTAGGTGCTTTAGACCACTGAGCCATCTCCCCAGCCCCTGTATCATTTTTAATAATTTTATTTTATATGCAGTTTAGAAGAGGGGTGCCATTCAAATTAAATTATTGGAGAAGTTGTAAGGAATTATCTTCCAGTTGGACAGAATTTGATACCCTTGTTCTGTTTGATCACAATCGTAGCATAAGAAATGCATGATAGCTTTCAATCATTCACTGGTAAATTCTGTTGTCATTCAGCCCTTCATATATCAGTGGGATCCACACCTATAGATTTATAGGTTATAGTTACAGATTAAAAATTTGGGGGAAAATTACATATATACTGAAGATACACAGGCTTCTGTTCTTACTGTTTTCTGAGCAGTACAGTGTAACAACTGTTCTCATTGTTTTGGGTGTTACAAGTAATGTCGAGATGACTTGAGTACATAGGAGGTTGTATGTATGTCGAGTGTGCCGTTGTATTTAAGGGACGTGGGCATCCTCACGTCTGCAGAGGCCCTCAGATACCCTGCGGGTGCCCTGGGACGTGCATTCCTTTTTGTGCTCTTTACAGAATTGAACAGAAATTGTATTTCTTCATGCATGAGTTTATTTCTACCTCCGTAATGCAGTGAAATCTCATACAGAATAACTTTTATCCCCATTTTGCTATCATAACTTTTGTTGCTTAACCTGCTTTCCATTTTGACTGAGAGTAAATTCTAAGTATTTGATACAGAAAAGCATTAAACAAATTTTTTGATAAGTTTTATTTAACTAACTGATATTATTACTTTGCAGTATTCTGAAGAAGTTTTAGCTGTTTTTAAGAGTTATAAATTAGATGACACTCAGGCCTCCAGGAAAAAGATGGAAGAATTGAAAACAGGAGGAGAACATGTGTATTTTGCAAAATTTTTAACAAGTGAAAAGGTATTTACTTTTTTTCTTTTTCCCTGAGCATAATTAATTTTTTTTTTCCTCTTAGCTGAGAGTCTTAAGTTTAATAGTAATGTTTTTCACTTTTAGGTAAAGTTGATAAATATTAGTTTGAGGGTCTCATTTTTTTCTTTGGACAACTAAGACTAAGTTGATTTCAAAGACAATAGAGGTGGTTCTATATTAGGCCTGTTTTGTAGCGGTCCTGTAGTAGACAGCTTGAAGCTCTGGACAATAAAAGTATTAAGCTTGATGTATTACACATGGACACCTCTATAAATATAAGTAGCACGTTCTTGTTGCATATACATGCAACATTCACAAAGTTTAACAGTTCCTAAGGGGAAGTCTCAGCAAATTTCAAAGCTTTTGTGTCATACAGAACACATCCTCTGCTCACAGCATAATTAAATTAGAAGTATAACATTAGAACTACGGGCTGGGGAGATAGCTCAGTGCAACAAGTACTTGTCTGGAAAGCATAAGTTCCTGAGTTTAATCCTGGATACCACCAAAAAACCCTCAAAAACAGAACTACAGAAAGTATAATTTAAAAAGAAGCCAACATACCCTAGGAGTTAAAGAAATCATAGTAGATGTTCCAAATTTGTTATATGTATTTGATAACAAAACTAAAGGAAGGTATTATGTATCAGAAGTGAGGATAACAAAGTGAGACATGGAGGGAAAATTACAGGAGGGAAGAAGAACAAACCTTAGAACCCTGTCAACCATTATATGATGGTGGTCGTTGTAGTAGGAAGGGAAGATGAGAGTCAAGAAGTTAGCTTTGACAGTGTCTATAGTCAATCTGAGAAATGCAAAACAAGTAAAATGTTAGATCTAACTGGATTGGGGTATGTGAATTTTAAGTTACTTAACTTTTTTTCTTTTTTTATTTAACTTATATTTTAATTTTATTGAGAAACAAATATGAATGAGACAGTTTCAAAGCTGATAATAGGACAGTTTCGATAATCAATACATTGTATGTTATCTTCTTAGTGGTTATCTATAGTACAAGAAGCAGACAGGATATCCTGTCCAAACACTATTAGTACACCTCTTTCTTCTCATTGAATTAAGCAACAGTAGCTGTATATCTATCCCATTTTGTACATATAAATACAAATTGATCTTTCCTTTGTATCCCTTTTTTTTGTTTAGTCCTGTCAGAGGTGGGTATTCTATTGGCATCTAAATACTATAGGTGTTTGAATTCAGCAAAACAATCCAACACTGTCTAGCAGTCTATAGTGTTAGTGGGTTATCCTCAGAATTAACTGTTTTTTTAAACATTTGAAGTATTTTGTAATTTAGAAGTGGAATAATTTGACCTCAGATGATTTTTTAATAGCAGTTAAACTTGAATAATGAAAATGCTCTGAATGTTTTTGTTACCTATTTTTTAAAGTATTTTGTATTAAATTCATGGAAATGGAAGATTTCATACTTTAGTTTTGCCAGGAATATTGTTTACATGTAAAATTGATTAACAGATTATTGTTACATGTAACATTGATTATAAGGATAACCAAAAATAATAGCATTTTAGACTTTTTAGGTTAAAAGTAATACAGGAAGGCTGAGGACTCAGCTAAGATGTGCAATAAAACCCAAGAACTACAAAAAGCACTTTGTTCAAGAAACAAAGACATTAACTGTTAATATGATGTAAATGGTGTTTTTCAATAGAAAACCAAAGACAGACGGAAGGAGGAGTAGGTATTATAAGACTGCAGTTGCATAAGTTGCTTTTAGTCTTGGTTCTGGCATTCATTGGCCATGTAAACTTGCACAAGTAGTTCTTCTCCAGGCCCAGCTTCCATAAGTATAATGGGAAGCAATTAGCTTACAAGATCTAACCCTTTTTAAAAATTTTTATTTTATTTATTTGATACAGGGTTTCACTACGCAGTTCAGCCTCACAGTGATCCTCTTGGCCCAGCCTCCCGGTGCTGGGATTACAGGCATGCACCCCTACGCCCCAGGGTTCTGGGGCCAATATGGCATGTGGTACTGGGGATCAAACTCCAGAGCTTGTGCTTGCCAGGCAGGTGCTCATGCCACCAAGCTATCTCCCCAGCCCTTAATCCATTATTTCTATCAAAAAGTCCAACGAAATATATGAAATTGGGGGACTTCAGAGATAGATGTAAGGATAACAAAGTGAGACATGGAGGGAAAATTATAGGAGGAAAGAGGAACAAACCTTAGAACCCTATCAACCATTACATGATGGTGGTCATTATAGTAGAAGGGCAAGGGAAGATAGGAGTAGAGAAGTTAATAAACAGTGCCTAGCCTCTGTGTTTGCTTTAAGCCATTTTCATGTCTCCATGCCAGACTTACTATATAGGTCCTTTTGATGGGCCAGTCTCTTACTTGATTCAGTGCCTTCTTGCCAAGTCTTCAGCTTTTGGTTTGCTACTACTGTTTTTAATTTAGACAGTAGGCAGCCTTCCTTCAGTTACTTAGGCATATGAGTGCTAGAGGGTGGAGCCTCTCATCACATTAGCAAACACTGAGGAAGAACAGGTTTTGTGAGGAAGATTGGCATCTTTGATTTTTGTTCATGAAATATATCAAGTGTCAGTTGAATGTTCAAGTGGAGAAGAGTAGTAGCTTGTATACAAACCTGGAGATTTGGCATGAGATATGAGTTAACAGTATGGACTTGGGAGTTTAGTTCTCCAGTGGTAAGTAAAACTATGGTGTGAGAGATCATCCAGGAAGGAGAGCGTATAGATTGGAAAGAGAAGAAAGTATTAGACTGAAGCTGAAAGAAAACCAACATTTAACATGTTCATGACTAGGCCGTAATTCCTGTGTTGCTGCCGGCAGCTCTGAACCATGCATGACTGTCCTATCAAGTGGCATGGGAGAGTCCCATTGTATTTCTAGTTATTCAGCTACCTTACATTGGATGATCAGAACTAGAGGAACACATTAATGGAAAAGGAAGGACAAAGACTGAATAGTAGCCAGTGACAGTGGAGAAAAACTAGAGAAGCACAAATCCATGGAGGCCAAGCAAGTCACAGAGTGAGCACTGAAATAACTGTTCATTGGGTTTAACTACAAAGTGAATCATTGATAACCTGGAGAAAAACCTTTTCAATAGATTGGTAAACAGGAAAAATTAAGAACAGATTGAGGGGTGAATGAGAAATGTGAATGAGCCGATTCTTCCAGGAAGTTTTGCTTTAGATAGAGGATGGAGTGAGGATGTGGTTGTCTGAAAGATTAGGATTTAATGCTAATGAAAGAAGTTGCAAAGGACAGGACTAGAAGACACGGAAGCAGGCAGTTAATGAAGGGAGGCTGCACTGAAGTCTGAAGATGCACCAGAGAAATGAGGGAGCAGGTGTAGGTGCCACTTGTTTGGAGCTTTGAGACTAAGACATTAAGTGACTTGCACCTTCATAACTCTTGTTGAAAGCAGAAGTAGTTATATACTTCATGTGAGGACGGGTGCTCAGTAGTGTTTGTAGTATGGGAAAAGGTTTAAAATAGTTGCTAGGCAGAAGAGAAGCCTTATATTATTAAATAATATTTAAATGTTAAGGAATAAAATACTTTTGGAGACACCAGTGCAGTGGTTTGGGATTAGGTGCATTCCTTCAAGCACTTCCACTTGCAGCCTAGCTTGGAACCGTAGAGGTAGTGTGGAGGTGATTGACAGGTGGTATGTCCAGGGTGGCCACGTGCTCAGTCCAAGTGACAGACTGAGGGACAGGATATTGAAGTGGAAGAGAGGAACCATGGAGTTACTGCTTGCTTTTGTTTGCTTGCTTGTTTGCATTTTACATGTTGGCATAAGGCCTACATAGGATAGGCCTTATGCGTATCCTCTAGGATATTCTTTTTGGCTTGTAGAGTCTACAAACACTATTTGGCTCTTTAGTAAAAATTTTCCTGACCCTTTATCTGGACTTAAATAGGATTATAGTAACTGGATGAGACTGTCACATATGCAGAACATAAAGAGCTTGAGAGTCTTAGGGTCTCAGTGAGATCCAAATGCTAGGTACATCAGAAGCAAGTGAGAGACTGGGAAGGAAAGCTGCTTGTGATATCTTGGTTTCAGAGCTGCGGGCTGCAAGTGATCACTGGCCCTAACATGTGGCTGCACAGTGGGGAGCTGGGGTAGGATAGACACGGCAGTGGGGTGGGTTGAGGGTCTGTGTAGAGAAAGTGAAGTCTCAGGATTTTGAAGGCAGGAAAACTGATAGCACATCATTCACATCTGCCAGTTAAGGATCCGGGAGTCAGTATGATAAATAACAGCATCGGATACTCAGTTCCTAAGGGTGAGAGAAAGCTGATTGGAAGGCCAGTCGTTTATTTTTTAATATCTGGGGATTGTTTTAAGTCAGAGGTTGGGGGAAGTTAAATGAAATGGCTGTTACATAGTAGCCTTCTTTGGTAGGTAGAAACAGAATGGCTTCACAGAGCTGGAGAATGTGGGACATTGAACCACAAACCAATTGCTGAGTCTTCCCAGTCTTTCTGGTTCACCTAGCAGGTGGCTTCCTGTTGTTGCTGTAGGTCAGTAGTGAACCCATGGCACATGTCCTACAGCCAGCTAGGAGTTACCATTGAAAGCTCCAAAGGTTCGGCATCACTGCTGTAGGTCATTTATTTATTTATTTATTTATTTATTTATTTATATTTGGGCAGAACCAGGGATTGAACTCAGACCCTTGTACTTGCCAGGGAAGCGCTTATTCCACTGAGCCCTCTTCCCAGCTCTTGCTGTAGGTCATAAAGGCAGAACTGATGGGAGTCTAGATGTGGTCTTCCACTTTCCTTCAGGCACTAGAAACATAACCAGAATGACTGTCCTTCATCACTGCCTGTTACTCTTACACTCCAGCAGTCTTTTCCACCTATATGGACGTCTCCTACTATAGCCTGGATTTCTGTGTCTAGGAAAATGGCAGCCCTTGCTGTCCTTTTTTTTTTTAATTTTATTTTAGGACAGGGTCTGCATGGGTGTACAGGGTCTCACTACGTAGATCGGACGGTTCTCTTGTTTTCAGCCTCGCAAGCTTATATTATAGGTGCAGGCCACCATGCCCAGTCTCAGTCACCCTCTCAGTACACCATTGAGGGTGGGGCCAGCACAACTTTCAGTATTTTGACCTGACAACGTAATCCTACATAGATCACTGCAGTTCACCAGCATGAATAATATCTTATGGCTGGAAATGGTCAAGAACCCTCTGTTCTGTCCTTGGGTTTTGGCAGTGTCACCACCTGTGGACTGAGCTCACAACAAATTTGCTTTAGTTGGAATCTTCCATTTCCAAAGTTGCATAACCTGTTCCTTTAGAAAAAAACGTGATCTTAATATACTGTTTTGTGTATGTGCTTGTTTTTTGAGTAGTTGATGGATTTGCAGCTGAGCGACAGTAACTTCCGCCGACACATCCTGTTGCAGTATCTCATTTTATTCCAGTATCTCAAAGGGCAGGTCAAATTCAAAAGGTAAGCTAACCAGGGTGGTAAAGGGTTTATCAAGGTGCAAGTGAAAGGACTTGAGTCACAGTGTTTGTCTTGCACCTTGGGCTCATTTTCTTTATGGGGGTTGTATGCCTTCACTACTTCTCTTACAGCAAACAGCCAGTGGCAGCTTTCAGATGTAGTATAGTTATTCTGAGGAAAAAGTATTAAAGACTGTTAACATGAGTCTTCTCTGCTGGGCTCCAGGGCTTCCCAGAGCTTGCCTCTTCTTGGTGGGCAGAGGTCCCTGTTGACCCTGTAGCTTGGTGTCTCCTCAGGCAGCACTTCCTCACAGGTGTGGAGCCATCTAGAACATCAGACCCAAAAGGGACAGAGAAAAGCCCAAAGCAGGGAGGAGTTCTGGTTTCTCTGGGGCTTCACAAAACCTCATCACACTTACTTCTACCCAGATTTTTCCTCCCTTCTGGTGCAGACCGTTCCCTCTTGTCCAAAACTGAGGAGGCATACTCTTGAGGTGCGCTGTTGTGCTTGAGTCCAGTGTCATCGCTCACCAGCTGCAGTGCCAGCCTTACAGTTGTCATCCCTTCTCTTTTAGAAGTTTTGCATGCTGTTTAGAAACGGTCTTTGGAGTTGGACTCGGGTTTGAACTCAAGCTTTGTGGCCTTCATCTCTGGGCTGTAGTCTTTAATATGCTGCATGTGAAAATGGGGTGTTGTGAGAGTTCTGGAGGAATGAGGGCACCGTGCTCAGGCAGGGCCCGCGGGGCGTCTGGCAGCATCTGCTGCAGGGCTGTAGCGCAGCAGCTGGTAATGGCTGGCGTTGACCTGCAGTATCCGCTAGGGTGCTCAGGTGCTTAGTCATGTATGTTGAATAGGTTTTAAAGGAAGGTAGCACGACTACCTAGAAGTGCCTCACACATAGGACTAGCTTACATCATCTCATCTCGTGTTAAGCTTGCAAAACATTTATTACTGTGTTCACAGTTAGGTCAGTGAACTGAAGATCTTATTCCCCTCCATACACACCTTCTGTCTTCATGACCCTAAGGACGCAGTACAAGAATTTTCACTGCATTTTGTCACTTGTGACTGTTCTTGGTAATTTTTGGCGCTACTTCCATTAACATATTACATGCCTTGCAATCTTTTCAAGGTCATAAATCAACTTTAATATTAGATATACACTGCTGTAACCCAGGTGTGTTTTTATTGTTTTATTTCCTAGTTCAAACTATGTTTTAACTGATGAACAGTCACTCTGGATTGAAGATACTACAAAGTCAGTCTATCAAGTAAGTCCAACATGCAACAAAATGATTGAAAAAATGGAAATTTAGAATTTTCTTTGTTTCAGCCCCAAATAGGAAAATAAGGATAAAGTTAAGCTCAGGTACAAGACCACAAACGCTTCTTGGTTCTCTGCCTACAAACCACTCCTATGATGCAGAAAGTTGTTGAAAGCTTAGTATATTCTTTCTAATCACAGCTACTATCTGAAAACCCCCCCGATGGAGAAAGATTTTCAAAGATGGTAGAGCATATATTAAACACTGAAGAAAACTGGAACTCTTGGAAAAATGAAGGCTGTCCAAGCTTTGTGAAAGAAAGGTAGGTGTATACTTACCACAAAAAATACAAACAAGAAAGGCATTTCAAAATATAATTTGATATGACTGGGGCTGGAGAGATAGCTCAGCAGCATAAGCACCTGACTGGCAAGTGCAAGGTCCTGAGTTTGATCCCTGGTACTGCAAAAAAATTAAAAACAAAAAAACTTCTATAATTTGATATGACTATCATATATGGCTATGTGTATTTTATATAAATGGCAAGTTAAACTCTGTTAGGATTATAACCACTTATATTTTACTATTTGTATTTTAACTTGGAAATTTTTTTGATTCTCAGAATAGACTGACTTGTATCTCTACTTGTAATATGCCCTGTTTTGTAGCATTTTTGTATTCTGTCTAATGAATGTTGTATTATAAAATAAAGCTTTCATCTTTTTTAGGAGAAACAACTTTTTTCTAGTTTTTACGTTTGTTTACTTTGATACCTGGGATTGAACTCAGGACCTTGTGTTTTCCAGGCAGGTGCTTAAGCCACTGAACTATCTCCCTGGCCCCTCTGATTTTTTTTTCCCCGCTTGTAAATATCTTACATATTTTTTTAATTTAATTTTACTTTGAAAAGTAAAAGCAGGTGGAGCCAGGGAGATAGCTCAGCAGAATATAGCACTTGCCTGGCAAGCACAAGGTCCTGAGTTCAATCCCCGGTTCTGCCAAAAAAAAAAAAAAAAAAAAAGATTTAAAAAAAAAAAGAAAAGTAAAAGCAAAGCAAGAACAAAAATCAGAAAGAAAGAAACAGGGCAACATACAACAATAATATGTTACAGATTTTCAAACCAAGAATAGCTGATTAACAATGGTTGATATATATTTTATCATCAAATCTGTTGCTCAAATTAACAGATATTGTTATGTAAGATTGGACATATGGTTTAATATTACCACTTGCTTTCAAGAAACCTTAAATTTTTGATCTTGTCTCTTTTTTTCTGTGTATAAATGTTAAACAAGTGCATGTGCATTAGTGTGTGTGCGTGTGTGTGCGCGCACACACACACACACACACACGAGTTAGTGTTTATTTCCATTTATTGCCAGGCAACAAAAATAAGACATGTACTTTGTGAGATGTAGTAATTCATCTGATGCCCCTCTGATTTTTATGTTTTGTTTTGATTTGGTTTTAGTTTCTTGTGGTGTGTGGGATCAACCCTAAGGCCTTGCACTTAGGTCTGCCTTTTTTTCTTTTTTTTTTTTTTTTTTGGTACTAGGAATTGAACTCAGGGCCTTGAGTTTGCCAGGCAGGCACTCAGGCACTGTGCCGCTGAGCTACATTCGAGGCCCACATGTGTCAAACACTACTTCTGAGGGCTTAGGGATATAGCGCAGCGGCACAAGCACCTGCTTGGCAAATGCAAGGTCCTGATTTTGATCCCTAGTACAAGAAAAAATTACTACCCCTGAGCTAAATCCCTTTTCCCAGCCCTAAGTTTTCTTTCCCATTAACAGCTTTTCCCTTTGTGCTGTTCATACACAATTCTAAAATGAGTGTATGTTTTGTTCCCCATAGAACATCAGATTCAAAGCCCACAAGGGTGGTACGAAAAAGAACAGCCCCAGAAGACTTCCTGGGGAAAGGACCCAATAAGAAAATTCTGATGGGAAAGTAGGTCAATTTCTCTTCGTATGTGGGTAGTTTTAGTTGTTTTTATATTCTGAAAATGTTACCATAAGAACTCCAGTTTTTCACATCCAAATAGAATATAAACTTGGGTTTGCTACATAAATACACAACTAAAGTGAACCTGTTAAATACTAAAAGTTATGAAGGAGAAAAGTAGAACTCATATGAGCACCAGCCAGAAACCCACTGTTTACATTATGTTGTTTTCCTCTTTATTTTTAAGACATACAAGGATGATGTCCATAAAAATTTTCTGTCTTATTTTGTAGTGAGGAGTTAACAAGGCTTTGGAATCTGTGCCCTGATAATATGGAAGCATGTAAATCAGAGACAAGGCAAGTTTAATGTTTTCAAATGCTGCTTTTCTTGACTGTAGTTTCATTGGCGGAATGGAGTCTTTCCACAGCTAAGATCAGTGCTCCTAAGTTTCTGTGGTTGACTTTTGGACAGCAGAATATGCCTTCCCACCATAAAACACCTAGGAATGCTAATAAAATAATTGTGGTCACAAATAATAGAGCATCAACAAACCAAAAGATTATTTTAAGACCAGCAGAATTTTTCTTTTACAAGCAAGACTGAAAAACTTAAATGCCTGTTAAATCGGAGTTAACCTAGTAGAAAGAACAAGTGACACACACAGTGTTCAGCCCCAATAAGCTCTGAAAAGGTGTCCCCACCTCACTGGCAATTGGAAGTAGAGTAAAAACCACAGCAGGCAACATCATAGCTAAGAGACTCAGTGATTCTAAATACTGAGATATTTGTAAGAATTTCAGAAAAATGTATTTTGCTCTTGTTGCTGGCCAGAGTGTGCTGAAGTGAAACTGCATAGGATACAAGCAGTGTCCCATTAATTGAAAACCTGAAAAAATTCACAATGCGTGCCCATGTATGCATGCTTGCTTGTATACACACAAGAATAATACTCGATTTTGAACAGCAGCTATCTCCGTGGGAAAAAGAGGGATGAAATCAGGAAGGGAGCATGGGGAGCTTCAGGTATATTTGTAGTGCTTTAAAAATTTGAAGGGGAAAGCCACATAGCTTAGCAGATTAAAGCGCCTGCTTAGGCAGACGCAGGGACCATAGGTTCAATCCCCGGCCTGCCTGCTGGCCCCATCCCCAGGGCTCCCTCAGAGGGCCACTGAGACTGGGCGTGGTAGTGCGAGTCTGTAATCCCGGCACTTGGGAAGCTGAAAAAGGATCACTACAAGTCTGATCTGTATAGTGAGACCCAGTAGAATTAACTACATTAAAAATAAAATAAAAATTGGAAGCAAATACAGCAGAAGCTTGGCATATGGTAGCACCCTGTTTGCTACATTAGTCTTGATTGCTTAAAAAATTGTAATAAGACTAGCAAATGGTTCCAAAACATTCATGAAATGTCAGCTCTGATTATTGCAGATTTCATTTTGTCTGGTATAGAATATAGGAGTGGTGAACGTGCAAGAAGTCTTACAGGCCTGTAATACTGCTTAGGAAGCTTTCTATTGTAATGAAATGTTACACCATTTGAGGCTATTTATTTTCTGTATGTTAGGGAAGGCTCTGCAGGGTGTACAGAGTCTCACTACTGGATCGGACTTGTAGTGATTCTCCTGTTTACAGCCTCTCAAATGCTGGCATTGCAGGCGCACGCCACCATGCCCAGTCTCAATCGCCTTCTCAGTACATCCTAGGGGTGGGGCTGGCACGGCAGGCCCCAGGGATCAAATCCCCGGCCCCTGCACCTGCTTGCAGGCGCTTTAATTATTTGAGGCTATTTAGAAACTCCCATTTTTGTAGTCTTAGATGTACAACCTCTGATCTGATCCTTGGATCTTATTTGAGTCTATATCATAATTTTGTTTTTAGTAAGATTTAATTAAATCAAGGATTTAATAAAAACCATTCTACCAGGTAATGATCTAAAATAAAAGCTAAAAGTTAAACTTCTAAAAAATCTCATCAAGGTCTGCTATTACTTTTGGTTTAGGTTTAATAAAGTTTGTCAGTGAATGGGGGAAATGGGAAATTCACGTTATTAGACCCCTGGCCACCCTTGGAATAGCAGCACATCCATACATTGTAGTGTGTTATAGTGTATATTAGGTGACATATAATACAGTATATTACATCAATAGCACAGGTACTGTTAGAATCTCTTATTGCTACCATTTTATGAGTATTAGAAATGAACAGTGTTGCTGGGCATAGCGGTTCATGCCTGGAATCCCAGCACTCAGAAGCTAAGGCAGGAAGCCTGCTATGAGTTCAAGGCCAACCTGGACTATGTAATAGTGAGGCCCTGTCTCAAAAAATAAAATAAAATAAAATTCTGTGGTCCTCACGATTACTTTCTAATGCCTAGGGAATACATGCCAACTTTGGAGGAGTTCTTTGAAGAAGCCATTGAACAAGCAGACCCTGAAAACATGGTTGAAAGTGAATATAAGTAAGTAATGCTTCTCACAAGCAAATTCTGATGTCTTCCACTATCTTTTCTTAGAAATTATATGTACAGCAGAGAGCCTAACAAGGAGGGCAGTCAGTAGAGGACTTTTCCTCTTAGGATGAGTTTACCATTTTCACATTACTGTACATTGTGATTTCAAGGATTATTCCTGTTGCCTGTCAAGCAGGATTTGCAGTCACCCGTGTTTGAAGCTAATAAGTAAAACCCCCTTCTCTAGCTTACCTCTCCCACCAACGCTTGTTCCAGAGCAGCCTCTGCCCAACCCAGGGCTCCTGCTGTCCCCTGTTCCTCCTGTCCTCTGCTCAGTGTGCTCCCATGCTCTGCCACCCACGCCGCTCCGCTCCCAGTTCCCATCACCTGGTCTCCCTTTGAAGTCCCTGAACAGGCAGCCCCTGAAAGCACAGTGGCTTTCACCAGGGCACTGCCCTTCCCTGGATTCCAGTTTCTTCTTGGCACTTGTGAAGCAGCCTTCTCCAGCCAGCTGGCTTTTTACCTGCTGCTACTCCATCTTGCTCTCCATTGTCCACCTCATTGGAGGAATTTCAGGACTGTCAGCCTTTTTATCTAGAATCTTCTAGGTGACATGACACAGGCTCAGTTTTAAATAGGCTTCATAGGTTCCCATTACCAGAAGAGGGGATAGCTTTGTATCTGTTAAGTGACAATACTCATTTCACAGGGTTACGCTGTGGATTAAATAATGGTGCGCTCTGAACCATGTATGCTAGAGTTAGCTCTCAGTATTCTTTAGTGACACCTTGTGACAAGTTTGTACAGTTACTCTGACCTCTTAACTAGTTTTAACTTCAGTTATCCATGCAGCGGACAGTAACCTTTGAAATAAAATGCACATAGCTGGGCGCATAGTGCGTGGCACATCTATAATCCCAACACTCACCAGCTGAGGCAAGAGATCACTTTCCGTTCTGAGCCTAAGCTACATGGTGAGACCCTGCCCAAAAGCCGTAACACTGAAAACACAAGTCCAGTCTCTGGCATAAAGTTGCCACAGCATGCCTATTTCAAACTCCTGGACCTTTCTCAGCCTCCCTGCTCTGGCTCTTACAGCGACTTCCTTCCTCCCCTCCAAGGCCGTGCCTTCGGAGCTCTGCCCATGCTGGTCCTTGGGCTTCATCCCTTCTCCCCACAGACCCTGCGGAGGTTGCTGGTGTTTGCTTCATGGTACTTTCCACTCAAAATCTTCATTCTCGTGGCTCTGTCATCCTTACTGTTGTGTGTAGCGGACCTTGAGCTTGGCTACACCGCTCACGCCTCCACAGCAGTGCTAAGGACCGGCCTCACACTGTCACAGTTCAGGAGGTGTTGGCATCCTCAGCCAGTACAGGCAGAGGAAGAAAGCGGAAAGGCGCTGTGGACCCGAAGTGGTGTGCTTCTTGTGTCGTCCTGCTCGTTTTCAGGAGTGCTTTTGCTCAGTAAGGTTGTTGCTTACAGGACTAGCACCCACCCTGTCTCCTAAGTGAGGTACATTCATTCTCACAGTGATAGTTGCTCCAGGGCTGGTTGATGAGAGCTTGAATAGATCTCTGGAGAAGAGGAAAACTGCATAATTCATCCATTAAATAGATGTCAGCAGGGAAAGCAAAGCTTTATGATAGGCATTAATTTAGAAGAGTGCACTGTAACGGGGATTTCTCAGGTCTTCAGTACTGTGGGCCTGTCCTACAGGTGACTGAGACCCACTTGGGAGCTGACCACACAACCCAGATTACACTTGGTGAATCTAGGGAGTGCCATACTTCCCAAAACTCATAAATGAAGTCCACTTTGCCCTTTTTTTTGTACCTTTGTCTGTTACCTTTAAAAATTCTTAAGTTTTGATTTCTGATTCCAATGTATGTACTGCCTGTGGTGATGCTCTGTTGGGGACCAGGTCATGATTCTTTTCTTGGCTTTGCTATATTTACTGTTTGCTCTTGGATAGTTTTCTTTCTGTGTCTTGAGCCATTTTTTACTTGGCTGAGGTTAGTATTAAGTGAATTAAACTTTGGGTGTTACATGTATATAGAAAACTAAGTATGCTTGAGTTGTCCCTTATCCAGAATGCTTAACATTTGGGTAATACGGGATATTTACACAGGCCTTACCAGTTAAGTGTTTTTGAGGTACTCAAGAAAGCTTGAGCATTAAGAGCATTTAAGATTTTAGGAAACCTTTGATGTGTATTGTTATCATCAAAACTCAATGTTGAATTTATATTCTAAACTTCACATCTCTAGCTGATACCACAAGTGTGGATATCAAGTCACTGAACACAGGCACTTGTGTATTTCATGTATTTTATGAATCGATATTTTTCCAGATAGCTAGATGTATACTTCCTGTCTGACACAGCATCTGCCTAGGACTCGGTGATGTATACATGTAAACTCTCAGAATGTGTTTGTTGTGCCTGCCTCTTCAGACTTTTTGTAATTATGACTCAGTTGATTTCTGCTGTTTGTATCGTGATCCTTTAGGATCAGAATTTTTAAAAAATGGTGGATTTGAGCAATTACCAGTGCCTGTAAGATTGTGGCAGAATCAAATTAAGTTTTTAAAAGTCTTTTTTCTTTTGCGGAACTGGGGATTGAACTCAGGCCCCCTTGCGCTTATCAGGGAAGCGCTTATTCTACTGAGCCATCTCCCTGGCCCCTTAAAACTGTCTTTGTTTTTATAGAGCTGTGAACAATTCAAATTATGGCTGGAGAGCCCTGAGACTGTTAGCAAGGAGAAGCCCGCATTTCTTCCAGCCAACTAACCAACAGTTTAAAAGCTTGCCAGAGTATCTTGAAAACATGGTAATAAAGTTAGCCAAGGAACTACCAGTAAGTAACATAGCCCTTATTTGATATCTTCTTTAAAGCTGCTATTGCTATTTGAACAAAGACTGAATTTAGTTTATCATTTAAAAAAAAAAAAAACCTACGAGAGGGAAACACATAAAACCATTAGCGATCATTTTCTGTGAAGCAAATAATTGAGGTTCCTAATACTTATAAAATGAGGACATGAAGTTTCCCAGTTTTTCAGTGTATCACCTTGTATCAGCCTGGATCTAAGCAGCAGCAGTAGAGGGTCCGGGCTTTCTACTGTGCTCTTTTCCAGTAGTTTCCTTCTCTACTATACTACTGTTATAATGACGTATAATAATATGTATAATAACTCTTAGGTACAGTATTTGCAAATCTACTGTGCTTTTCAGGTCTCCCTTCTGCCCGATGGGGAGGTGGGGGGAGGTAGGGTTGATTCGGGGCTCTCTTCCATGAGGCCTCCAGGTTAACGCTCTGGGGAAGGGCCAAGGTCCAGCCCTGGGGCCCAGTCTTACCTAAACCAAGCACCTGCCACCAACCGTGCTCAGAAAGCCATGTCCTTTTCAACATTACTCTTTTACCTTAGCCTCCTTCTGAAGAAATAAAAACAGGTGAGGATGAAGATGAGGAAGATAATGATGCTTTACTGAAGGAAAATGAAAGTAAGTATTGAATTTTCTTGGCTATTTTACAAATTAGGAAAAGACTGGGTTTTGTGTTGAGAGATACATTTATTTGATCTACTTCTCAACTTCTGTCAGTTTATCTCAGCTGTGCTTCTGACTTAAAGTGATTAATAAAAATATTACCTAACAGTATCAAGCTATGCCATCTTATATATTAAAATTGGAAGTAATGGTGCTTTGTAAGGTGAAGATAGTTATGTTTTGAAGCAGAATGTCATTCCTCCCTCCATTAGCTGTTTTTATGAAAGTCCTCACAATTACACTCCAGCTAGCAGCTGTAGCTTTATTGACCTCATGAGCATGACTTTTAGATACTCAACCCATGTAGAATATAAAAAAGAACTGCTTCAAAGTGCAACATGGAAGGGTTCGTAGGAAGTCAGTGGCCTCTTTCTAGCTCTTTTGTACCTTTAGGATTGAGTTACTGAACTTTATTCATGGCCTGTTTGCTAGGTCCTGATGTTCGGCGGGATAAACCTGTGACAGGAGAACAACTTGAAATATTTGCCAACAAGTTGGGTGAACACTGGAAGATTCTGGCTCCTCACTTGGAAATGAAAGACTCAGAAATCCGGCAGATCGAATGTGATAGCGAAGACATGCGGATGAGAGCGAGGCAGCTCCTGGTGGCCTGGCAGGACCAAGAGGGCATCCACGCAACCCCTGACAACCTCATCAGTGCACTCAACAAATCTGGGTTAAGTGACCTTGCAGAGAGTCTAACTAATGACAATGAGACCAATAGTTAACTTACATCTTTTTTCTTTTTTATTAAAACTGTGATAAGATTTTGTTACCAAGCAGCATTTGATAAGAGGTCCACTGGTTTTGGTAAACAATAAACATTTTTATAACAGTTGTACAGTTGGCTGGTGCTCCAAGAACAATCAACACAATGGCTCAAAACCTCAAATGGGGTGAGGGAATGGGAGGGCAGATGGCCAAAGTGAAGTGACCTCAAGATCACAAACTAGTTTTGTAAGTACTCTCACTGTGAAGTAAGCACTGTTTAGGGATATGTTGTATTCCTATGCCAAACCCACTTCTGAATGCTGTTAGTAGCTATAAAATTTTCTAACGTCCCAGAGTGACACTGAAACCTCACAGCAGTTCTCGTGTTAAAGTGGAGAATCAGCAAACCACTGCATTCATCTGCTTTTTAGATTGGGTCTCACTATAGTTCAGAGTGACCTTGAACTCAGCAGTCCTCCTGCTTCACCCTCCTCTGAGTGCTGGGATTACAGGCAGGCACCACCAGGCCCAGCTCCCTTGTGCTTTTGTAACGTTACTGGCACCATGCATGCTCATTCCCCAGGTCCACAGCACTGCTGCAGTACCACAGCAGGATGGACGTAGCAGGCGGCCTGGGAGCTGCCAAGACTAAAATATTTACTGTCCAGCCCATTACCAAAAAAAATACCTGCTAAGTAGTAGCCAGCTTTAATAAAGTCTGTTTTAGCCTTATAAAAATCACATGACCTCTCAAACCCCTAACTTCTGGGATTACTGTGAAGTTCTAATGTCACGTGAAAGGTCCCAGGGAGCAGCAGACCACTCTTCTAGGCTGAGATGGCCCCTCTGCCCTCCCGCCCCCACACCCACGCTGCCCACCCAGGCAGGGCCTTGCCCAGCCCAAATGTTGCAAGGGTCTCTGTCAGTGACAGCAAATAAGGCACATGAGAACCGAGACTTCTTGGCCTACTCCCTTCTCAGACCTTACATGAAGGCTGAATTCTAAAGTAGCCCTATTAGTTAAAAACACTGGTAATAAGCCCAATTTTTATTTTAGTATCTTTGGAATAATACTTAAGATCAAGTGAAATGAAATCAAGCTTTTTAATGACAAAAACTAATTACTAGAAATTCTAATACATTGTACACAAGGCTTTTACCTAGTTTGTTCCTAACCTACCTCACCTGCTTTAGTAGCTTCAGCATTCAGCAGATCAGAAAATCTAAAACTGTTCTAACCGAAGGAGACCAGGAGTGAAAAAAGACCACCATACAAGCATAAGTCATTAGGATTCTTACAGTCTCGTCCTTTCCACTCTATTCATCCCTTCTAGGGTAAAGAATTCAGGTATGGAAAGTATATGCAGACTAGCATCCCTAAAATGCTATTTATTCCTTAGTGTCTGATGCCACCACATACTCAGATTTTAAAGGAAGATGGCCATTCCCTGGGACTCCTGAACATTAAAACACCATAAAGACGGGAGATGTCCTGATAATTTCTAAACTTCATTATAAATACCTAACTCAGACAAAAGTAGCTGATACTTTGCCCTCTATCCTTTCTTCAACAATCAGGACTCCAGAGATAAATGAGAAGTAAGATTCTAAAAGGTGAGGAACTAAGTACCTCAGTCTTGGTGTTTTCTACCATCACTTTAAAATCACTGGCACTAATAAAATCTGGAAGAAAAAAAAAATCAATGGCACAAAATTTGGACATAGACCTTAAGATCTGGGGAATCACCAGGACAGTAAATACAAACAAATGAGCCCAACTGCTGACATTACTGCATTCAGCATGCGGGAAACCTGCCCCTTTTGTTTCTGCTGAAAGGGGACACGGGCGGACAGGAAGCAGGACTAGGACGGCGGGCAGCACAGTGATGGCAGGCATCTGCAGGAGCCAGAGCGCCAAACATACCTCATCTCCAGCCAAGCTCCAACACTCAAGAAGACCTGCCACAGCTGTTAACCCCTTTTTCTTAATAACCAAAGCTTGTCAACATAAAACCATTGCGAAGGTAAATGTACAAGTCATACTGCATCAGAGACCCAATAATAAATGTATAATCAAATGTACTATTATTGATCACAATTTATTTAAAAGTCATGAAAAGCCAGCAATAGTCAGGCTGGACAAATCCTTGATTGCACCCATGTTTCACGGGAGTGGACAGCAGCAGAGTCACACTGAGAGCAACACTTCTTCTCCGCCTTCCTGGAAGGATGTTTGTTAGATAAGGCAAAGGACGGGCAGCTACTGAACGGTGGGACGACCATGCAAGAACACCCAACAACGGGCACAGGTGTGCAACGAACATCACGGCTGACTTGGGCCGAAAGGCAAGGAGAAAAACTAACACAGAAGGTAATGGGGGAAGACATGTTACTAAGAATTTTTTTAAATTAATACAAGAAATGAGCTCTGTCTTCCAGCCACCTTTATAGAGGGCAGCATATTCCAAGGTAATTCTTATTCTTTCCATAATTTTTAGGGTGATGCACAAGCAGTCTGCTTCTGCCCTCTTATTCCACACAAGGGGAAACAGACAAGATCACCTACACACCTTCTTCTAAAGCTCTGGATTATACAAGTGATCAACAAATAACATTTATTTCACACCTAAGCATAAATAGCTACAGAGATTACTGTTCACTTTCCTCTTCCATGACCTCAACTCTGCGGGGCCCATACAGCAGAACATACGCAATATGCCAGTCGCCACCGCCGGAGAGCCGCAAGATGTCTTCAGGTGTTACAATGCTGACCTTATCGTCGTCAAACTTGATCCACTCATCTAAGTTACAGAAAGAAGACAGTATTAGACCCAACTCAGTGCCACTGCAAACACCTGCCGAGTGGAGCAGGACTCCACCTGCCCAACAGCAGCGCTCCGAGCGCAGTCCGGCGATCACAGCCCCTCCAGACAGCCCAGCACTGCACGGAGGGCAGCGCTCCTGTGACCGAACCACTGATCCCTGCTCAGGAGGCAGCCCCCGTACCTGAGGCTGCGCGCCTTGGGCAAGGGAAAGGACGAGTGCAGAAACACAGGTGAGCCTGGACATATATTCACAGAAAGACTTCCAAAAGTGTGTATCAGTATCATTTCTCCCTTTTTTTATTTTTATTTTTTTGGCGGAACCAGGGATTGAACTCGGGCCCTTGCGCTTGCCAGGGAAGCGCTTATTTCACTGAGCCATCTCCCCAGCCCCCTCCCTCCTTTTTTTAAATGTCACTTATATTAATGAGTAGTGGGTCTATGTCCATTAACTTTTTTGTGAAACAGGGTTTCACTATGCAGTTCAGGTTGGTCTTGAACTCACTTTATAGCCTAGGTTGTCCATGAGCTCACACTGATCCCCCTGCCACAGCCTCCAGGGGACTGGAATTACAGGCATACACCACCATGCCTGGCCTATTGCTATTTATTTTAAATCAATTCAGCTGGGTATGGTGGTGTATTCCTGTAATCCTAGCACTCTGGGAGGCTGAGGCAGGAAGATCACAAGTTCAAAGTCAGTTTGGGCTATATACTGAGTTCAAGACAAGCCTGGAACATAAGATTCTGTATCCAAAGGAAGTTTTCCTAGGCCTTATATGCTAATTTTGAACATATTTAAAGATACAGACCTTATTAGAGCTACAGGTCTTTAAGACCATATGGCATGCATGGCAACAGATGCCTATAATCCTAGCACAATTTGGAAGGCTGAGGCAGGAAGACTGTGTAGCCATCCTGTGCTACAACATAGTGAGTTCAAAGCCAGCTGGAATACATAGTGACCCTGTTTCAAAAAACAAAAACATTTGCTCAGAGCTATAAAATGTTTAACAAACAAAACAATATTTAAGGGTTAATAAAACAACAGATGTTTACCTTGTTTTCTTTTTACCCATGACACATAATGACCTGAAGAACTTGACCTTCCTTGGTGAGTTAGCACTGCTTGTAGGTCATAGTATCCACAGTTATTGGAGCCAATATCTAAAGAGATAGGAACTAGGCAATGAGCATACATGTACTTTCTCCTGCAGGACACCAAGAATAACTCATGTCTACATGAGAGAAATACTTTATTAGAATCCAGGAAGATATTACAGTCTTGAGTTAGAACCATGAATGATGTTTTTAAAAGCATGTCACACACAACCCTACACTCAAGAGTGCTGTTACTCTATGGAAAACATCTCAAGAAAACTTGTCAATAAACAGGTAAGTAACAAAACAAGTAATTTTACTTTAAACACATCCATACACACAAAATAAAAAAATTTCACTTACCATCAGCAAATGAAAAAGGTTCGTATTTAACTTCTTTCTGGGGACTACTCTTCTTGTCACTCTGAGGGGAAAAAAAAAATTTAATTTTAAATCATGATATTGAGAATAAAGTTTGTGTTTTCATCAACTGTTCATTTTCACAAATACTTACAACACAAAACACTGACACAAAATAACAACCTACCTTGGGAATGATTTAAATGACATCACAGTTAACACGAAACTGTGACGCCTGAGGTCCTGCTCCTTAACAGTAAGCAACCTTCAACAGGTACAGTGACACATATATACACGAGGACCAATGTGAAGCCACTAAAGCTACCACACAACAGGGAATCTAGCAGTGTAGTTACAGCCGTGCTCTATGATTGGAAAAAACCCTATTCTCTAATTTTACCAACATACTATGAAACCATATCAAGAGGTGGAGGAATGCCTCAATTAAAGAAAGTAAGTCAAATACCTGCAGCTTATAAGAACTGCTAAGCCACAGCCTTCTTTTTTATTTCTGAGGGTTTCACGATGTAGCCAGGCTGGCCGTGAACTCAGTGATCCCCTTCCCTCAGCCTCCCAAGGGCTGGGATTGTAGGTGTGCGCACCATAGGAGGTCCATCTCTGCTTCAGTCCACAAGACTGAAGTATTTAGCAAAGATAAACATATAGTTAAAGAGTTCTGACTTACTACACAGACAAGGACCTTTAGTAAGAATGCACTACCTCAACGCAGTTCAGTGTATAATATGAAAAACAGAACTCTCAGGGAGATGGCTCAGTGGAATAAGCGCTTCCCTGGCAAGTGCAAGGGCGTGAGTTCAATCCCCGGTTCTGCCAAAAAAAAAGAAAGAAAAACAGAACTCTCCAGACATGGGGCACTGGCTTCTTGAAAACTACAATGGGAATGAAGACAATGCCAGCAGCTTAAACACAGCTGGGGTGGTAAGAAGTCAGAGGTCCCCCTAAGTACAAAGCAAGCAGATCAACTGTTTCTTCTTTAACCTGATAATACCCAGGGTAACCACTACACAATCCAAAGTAATACATTATTAAAAAAAAAAAAT